TCACGGTTACGGATGAATCCCCTTTCACCCAGCAAGTCTACTTCTCATCCTCTCACCGAGAGGTACACTTCCGTGTGTGAGCAGACATATATAAATGGTATCCATTGTTTCTAACAACAAAAGATTGGAAACAACCTAAGTGTCTACAAATACTGATTGGTCAAATAGATTAGGGAACATCCACATACTAGAAGATCATAAGGCTGCAAAAATAATCACGAGGGAGGCCTTTATGTACTCATATGATTGTCCCTGAGCGGGGCACTGTATGATTCATTGTAGCTTTTGAACATTACCTAGCCAACTTTTCAAATTAAATTAAAAATGATAACGGAGATAAAGGAAATAGAAGCCACAACAAACTATAGAACACTACAAAAACTGAGCTAGTAGGATTGAAAAAGTGCAAAATAGTATTTCTAGAATGAAAAATATAGTCGATGCAATTAAAAACTCACTGAATAGGTTAAACAGAGTGGACACGGCTGAAGAAAGAATGGCCAATACATATATTAAAATTTTTCATAATAAAATATTGAGAGGAACCAGAGGGGAAACTGTATATTCAGTAAATGATGCTGAGAAAATTGAATATCCTTATAAGAATTAGATTCCTATTTCACATGTTAGAAGAAAAAATTTAGAAAGTATATAGTATCTTTAAAAGCAACAACTCTATTTTCTTAGATTAAGGAAGAATTTCTTAAATAAGAGTAAAACCATAAGAAAGATTAGTAAATTTTATTTCACTAAATTTAAGAAAAAATGTAAATAAAAGACACCAAAAACAAGCAAAAAAAAAAAAAAAAAGGCCAGAGAGATCAGAAGAGATTCACCATGCACATAGGCCAGAAAAATTAATCTCAAATATAGAAAGAACTCATATGTCAATAAAAAAGTAGAAATCCACGCAAAAAGCTATTAATCGAAAAATTCACCATCTGAGAAAAAGCTCAAACATTCCATAAACAGATCAAAAGGTAAGTCATCTCAGATGTAATCAATTAAAATATGATACTATTTCACACAGATTGGCAAAAAGCAAAACAACTACGATAATACTTCGACGGAATGGAAATTCTGGTATAATTCTGGTGGTCCAGCTACTTCGAAGACCAATTTGACAGTCGCCAGTAATGCTGACGCCCGGCACACCAAGTCACTTAGAAATTCCATTTCCAGATCTCATCTGCGTGCACAAGAGGGTCACCAAAGTATTGTTTATACTCGCAAACGTTAGAAACCACCAGATGTAAATGAAGGCGGCACTGGGTAAGAGATCTGGGTATACTCACGCAATGGAATACTATACAGCGGTCAGAATGAATGACCTAGAACTCATAGGAACATGGGAAACCTAGGAAAAGTAATGGTGAACAGTAACGCAAGTTGACAAAGGACATCCACCATACAGCAGCAATGGTGTAAATTAAGAAATACCAAGAAACCCAAAGGACCAACTTGTGTTTTGTTGTAAACACTATTTATAGGTATATGATGGTCAGCTTCTAGGATGACCTTCAATGACTCCGCTTCCTGGTATTTACTCTTGTGCACGCCCCTCCCCCATCTACCAAAGGAATAGGGCAGAAGTGACACCATGTCACTTCTAAGATGAGTTTACAGAATGAGTTTACAGAATGACTGCGGCTTCTGTCTTGGGTGCTCTGTTGCACACTCTCTCTGGGATCACTTGTTCTGGGGTGACCAGGAACCCATCGTGGGGACATTCAGATAGGCCTGTAGCAACGTCCGCATGGCAAGGAATGGAGGGGCCCTGGCAACCACATGACAGAGCTTGGAAGGGGACCCTCCAGCCGTCAGGTGCTGCAGCCTTAGGGGAGACCCTGGACCAGAACAGCCCAGCTAAGTCCCTCACTCCTTGATTCCCCACCCTCCCTCCATACAGGCTCATTAAGTGCCGCTATATTGGGGGGCAAGTTGTTAGCAATAGATAACAGTCCAGGGTACTTGTAGCAATGCAGTGAAATTATGAGAATATACACCAGCTTCAGGATAAGGGGTAACTCTGGGGAGTGCAGTGAGGTGGGGCTTTAGCTATACTTATTTTTTTTTATTATTTCTATAACAAATTTTTGAGGATGACAAAAGGATAGCATTTGTTATATCTGGGTGTTCAGTAAGTACACGATTTTCTGTGATTTCAAGCATTTTCTTTGTTACTTAAAACATGTTTTAGCCCTAACCGGTTTGGCTCAGTGGATAGAGCATTGGCCTGCGGACTCAGGGGTCCCAGGTTCGATTCCAGTCAAGGGCATGTACCTTGGTTGCAGGCATATACCCAGTGGGGAGTGTGTAGGAGGCAGCTGATTGATGTTTCTCTCTCATCGATGTTTCTAACTCTCTATCCCTCTCTCTTCCTCTCTGTAAAGAATCAATAAAATATATTTTAAAAAAACACACAAAAAACAAACAAACATGTTTTAGCCCTGGCAGGTATAGCTCAGTTGGTTGAGTGTCATCCTGTGCACCGAAAGGTCACCGGTCCGATTCCCGGTCAGGGCACATGCCCAGGTTGTGGGCTCAATCCCCACTTGGGGCATGTATGGGAGACAACAGATGAATGTTTCTCTCATCCATGTTTCTCTTTCTCCCTTCCTTTCGCTCTCAAATCAATAAAAACATATTAAAGTAAACAAATAAAAAGTAAGATGGAAAAAATGTTATAAATAACCACTTGAAATAGAACAAAAGGCAGCACTTCATTCCGTTTATTATGGTACCACAGACCATGCCTGGCTCCTAACTGCAGCCCTGAGGGGAGCCATTACTTTAATGGCTAAGCGATTTGCACCGAAGAGGAGACTCAGCGTGCATTCCCACCGCTGCTCAAATCGAAGGGCTGAGTGCCCACACCTTAGATATATTTTCAACAAACAGCAGAACCAAACTTCAATACAAACACCTGACCAGGAATTCAGGATGGCTCGCAGGAAAACGTCTCTGCCTAGAGAGGCTTCGTGTTAGCTGTGCCCACAGCACTTCCCGCAGCAGCAGACGGGATGGCGGTCTCCGCAGCAGCCACTAAAGTGGACGATGCAGCGGCTGTTGCCATAGCAGCCTCCATCTACTTCGGTGGCGTTTAACCAGGGAATTGTGGGGAAACTGCTTTGGTTCTTAGATTCCCCGGTTTTAAAGAAGTAAAACGCCCACAGTTGGGAGACACGGTGTTCCAGGTTGTGCAGCCCCAGGGAACGCAGGGAGAGGGGACCCCCTCAGTGGACAGCAAATGAGCTGGAAGAGTTAGCGTCCGTCTGAAAGGGTCACCTCTGCTCATGACCAAGATTCAGAAATGACAAGTCTCCAGCCCCCGAGTCTGGTCACAAAGACAAGTCGAAGAACTCTGCGCTGACATTTAAGAAGGTACATCACAGCACCGCCCATACCTTCATGGATGGGGGGATTTTATTTATGTAGAATGGGAACTGGCCTAAGGATTCCAGAGGTAATTTTCCCTTCTCACATTTCTCTCCTGTTCTCCACATTCCTTTACTTTGTGGGGATGGCAGTGCGCGGGGACAAGAATATGACGCATCACTTGCCAACTTTATTTCCCAGGACTCCCATTTTGAGACCACGACTTCGGCAGCAAGAAATAACAGCTGGAATCTCTCCCTCCTGAACAAATCAGCCGTGACTGGAGTTCCCGCTCACCCTCCTCTCCATGACTCTCCTCCAAACTCTGGTTAATTTTATTTTTAATTTTTGTTTTTTTAAAAATATTTTTTATGAAAATTTTTAGAAACATCAATGATGAGAGAGAATCATTCATCAGCTGCCTCCTGCACACCCCCTACTGGGGATCGAGCTCACAACCCGGGCATGTGCCCTGATTGGGAATTGAACTGTGACCTCCCGGTTCATAGGTCGATATTCAACCACGGAGCCACACCAGCCAGGCAAACTCTGGTTAATTGTAGATCAGAGTGAAGGTCTGGTTGGTTAGCGTTCCTGCCTGTCCTACAACTATGTCTCAAGTTTAAGGCTGTCTTTCATCAAATTTCTGTTTCCTTTCCTCCACTACATGGTGATCGTGTATTTCACTATCTCCCCAGTTTTCTTCTGTTCCACCTCCTGTCATTAGTTCTTTTTCCTACCTCACATCTGCTTAGTTGTTCTATCCCTGAGCACTTCATTCATTCTGTTCCTGACCCTGACCGATGCCCCAGACCTTTTCAGTCCTCAGACACCCGACTGGAGACATGGTGGCCTGACACACGCTTCCTGGGGCACGCGCTTCCTCCACTGGTCTCCGCTCTCCATCTATGACTTGCCTTTTCCTTACCAGCTCGACTGTTAGTCGTGAGCACCCGTGTGCGGTGGGGACACTCCATCTCAAGCCTCCTGTCAACTCTGAGACATTTTCAAGTTTAAGGAGTGTCACCATCCTATCAACTTGACCGTGCTCTTGTGGCTTCTCCGTAGATCTGGCTCAGCCTCAAGCCAGGCTTCGCAGAACAATGCTGCCCTGTCACCGTCATGCCATCTCACAAAGGACTTCTGTCAGAAGAACGGGCTCCTTGGTCTCATTATTTTAGGTTTTTGAGAAATAGCTGTGACAAGCATTGATTTCTTATTTTATAGGATTTCTTTGAGGAAAAAATCTACATAGTTTATCTGTGAATTTTCTGTTTCAGTCCTTGCACTGTCAAACTCTGACGTTCCACCCCCAGGCCCCTTGGAGTATTTTTATTCCTGGGATGAGGTGCCCATGCAAGTTTAATATGAGAGGGAACAGGAATGACAACCCTTAATAGCCTTTTCCACGTGCCAAGAACGGCAATGAAAGTCTTACGTGGGTGAACTCGCTTTTTCCTCGCAGCAAACCCCAGTACATTTTACCAACAAGACTTTGATCACGATTACAGGCATGAGTGGATGAATTCAACACAACTGACTTGTCGAGAAGTGCTCCCAAGTGAGTGAACTGACAAGAGCTCTGGAGGCAGGGCTCCCTGTCCGACGCCAGCATCGCTCACCTGCACAGGTGCTTGCGGCGAAGCCCACCCTCTTCCGAGCTCTGTCGAAGATCACGTAGAAGCCCTCCATCACGGTAGCACCAATCACCAGCGCGTTCGTGGAAGGTGAAATGCCGAATCGGTAGCACTCATAATTCAGGCCAGCCCTCATCATGGGCTGGATGTAAAGCTGTTGTTGAAGAGGACAGAGGAAACAAGCAAGAAAAAGCACAAATCAGTCAACATCACACAACTGTCATGGTCACAGGGGGCTCAGAACTCTCCAAGATGCTATGGGGCGCTACAGCTCTAGGAGCTGAAACCGTAAGCATGGTGGTGATAAACATTAGTGAGAGTGACAGGAACATGTACACCACCTGTAACTGTATACAGGGACAACCGTAAGCAGACTTCCATCCACCTATCTATTTAGTCATCCATTCATCAAGTCATCCATCCATCTAGCCATTCGTCCGTCTGTTTGCCCATCCATCCATCCATCCATCCATCCATCCACCCACCTATTCGTATATCCATCTGTCCTTCCATCCATTCAACCATCTGCCAACCAGTTATTTTTTGAGCCTAGACACTGCCCTTGGTACCAGCACTATAAGGACGAATAACACATGGTTCCTGTCCCAGCTAAGCTTCCCATCTAAGGGGGAGACAGGTAAGTAAATATTGAGTCAGAAGTGTTCCAACAGTCCCTTCTATTGATAATGTTGACCTACTAGTTCTCTCGTCAAAACTCTCTTCCTTTCATCTCTAAGAGAGGGTCCTCTCTCCCTCCTCCTAACTCACTGGCTACTCCCTCGCAGGCACCTGTGCTGGATTTGCTTCACCTTCCTCACCTGTCCGTATCCGGGAACTGCGGAGCTCTGGCTTCCTCTATCTTTCCTCCCAGGTGGCTCAAGCAGCCCCATGGCCCTCAGTACATCCCCCGCGCTCTATGCCGAGGCTCCCAAATCTCTATGTCCAGCCCAGATCTCTGCTGCCACTGCCACACGCTTCTGTCCCCACTCATCGCTCAGTTGGCATCTCAAATGTACCACTAAGAAAATGACACTGAACTTTGGCTATTGCCCCGATCTGCTCATCTCCAGGCTCTCTGTCTCAGTAAATCCACACACAGCCTTTACTCCGGTCCCAGAGCGCCAGGTCAGTATCTCTGACCTCCCTTCGAAACCGCACACAGCGCCTGCAGCCTTCCTTTGAGACAGAACCTGAATCTGATCACTTCTCCCATCTCCATCACCACCACCCTGGTCCAGGTCATCGTTGGCCCCTTCTGTCCTGATCTAGTACCACAAAGGTTCCTAACTGGCTCCAGGATACCACCTTTCCAAAGTGATGGTGTCTTCTAAGAAAGAGTCGGCAGGCACAGGTAGGATGATTCCCTCAGTGCGAGAGGGGAAAGCCGTCACAATCAGAGAGAAGACACGGCATCCACGGATAAGAAGTTCTGACATGTGTGAGGCCCATGTCCTGAGGCCCCCAAGAGGCAAGAGTTACTGGGGACATGAGTTAAGTCTTAAAACAATCAGCGAGCCAATCAATATCATATTAGTAACAATTCCTCTGTTTTTTAATGGAAAAGTATTAAAATGTAGGCAGTTAAGAAGAGAGAATGGCTTGGTATGACATGACAAATATTTGGGGGAGGGAGGAAAGCAATAAAGCACAAAATAAGTGAGGAGGACTTTGCCCTAAAGGATGAAAGCGCTAAGAAAAACTTGGAGGAACAAGGCACTACTCATAGATAGGCTGTCTCGGGCCTTGTGGGGATGTGAGAGGGAGGGATTTTGGAGGGATGAGCAAAGATTGAAAGGAGACCAGTGGGAGGGGCTTCCGTATGATGATTGATGGAGGTGGAGGAGGAGGCAGACTGGGCCGAGCGTGGGTCTTTTGGATTGGTGGGCACAAGAACAGTATTTAAAATCTGAACAGAAAAGGAAGCCGGAAGTTGTGCTGGTGAAAACATAAGTGATCAAACTGACCCTGAGGAAGGTGAACATCACTGTACTTCACCTGCAGGGCAGATGGGAGGGAGAGGAGCTGCAAGGAGAGAGGGGAGCGAGGACACATGGTGGCAGTGCCTGGAGTCACCGACTGCTGGGCATCAAGCAGCTGCTGTGTTCAGGCAGCTGTTCCGGCAGGTAGAACCCTGCACTGATTGGTTTGTCTGTCTGCAAACCCTTCTTCCAGGCCAGGCATCATTCTATTCCTCCCTGTATGCCCGGCGCCTAGGCACCCAGTATATGCCAGGCATATAGGAAGACCTCAATAAATGCGTGTCAAATGAATGAGTGGGGCTAAGCTTTGATCAGTGTTAAATTAAGAAAAGGTGGGGGGGTGGCTTAGCTGTCACAGAAACAGAAACACACACACACACACACACACACACACACACACACACCCCTACCTTTGAATGAACTAATTCCATAATGCAAGTATGATGCAACTGATGATACTGATACGAACAGAATTTGTATCTTTTCCTCTGGCCTTTCTGTGGGCCCCAGTCGACTCCCAATAAAAATTCCAGACTGCAGATCTGTCACATGTTGGGAAAGCTGTGGTAGTTCTGGATCTCAGAAGAAACTGGCTGCCTTCAACTGAGTACAAACGGGCGAACCAGTGGCACCAAGACTGAAACTATTTACACGTACAGGGTTATGTGAAAAAGAAATCAGAATTTGTCTGAGAGCTGGAAATTGATTTTTGAACAGGCCAAATAGAATTCAGCTCGTGTGTGTTTGGAAAATGGTGCTGGTGACAAACCGGACTCCCCTGCTCTGACTGCTGGTGCCTGGAAGGTCCCAGGTAGGGACCCCAGTCTAATACTGCGGCGACAAGGAGCCCTGGGATTGCCCTGAATGTTAGGAAAGGGGTTGGGCAGGCAGAGCTGAGGTGTTAGATGACCCCAGTGCGACCTTGAGGGGTGTGGCCAGCATATGGAGTGTGTGTGGTTCTCAGCAGGGGATGGTTCCAACCGCCCATCCACGTCCCTCCCAGCAGGCACCGGGAAGCAAACATGGTGATGTTGAATAAAAAGTCAGAAAAACAATGGGGAATGTCGGTTTTTAAAAATCGAAAATGTGAACATGTCAAAGTCAACCCCCCAAAATCTACAGTCTCCTAAGTGAGAATAAGACTGGATTCTTACTCAGAGATACCCACATGGATGCCACCTCCCCAACCTGCCTCCCTATGCCCCCACACTCACCCCGTGCCGGCTATTACCTGTCCTGGACATAATAGGTTTTTCCCTGGTTGCCTGCTTTTTTCCTCCTGCTTCTTGTGAGTCCCGGCCTCTGCCAACCACCCACATGCCATTTATTTGCCAGAACACGTCCACCTGTGTCCTCAAGCTAGGCTTTAACTTTAGTTACAAACCACACTGATGAAATAATGTCCACATTTGGCGGTTGGCAGGGCAAAATATAATCAGAAAGAGTACATTATTTTAAAGATGCTGAAAACACAGTCCAAAAACATCACTCTTTGCAGTGCTGTTCATCCAAGGACACAGCCGTCTTCTGAAAATGGAAAATGCCACTGAAAGTATTACTATTTCTCCTTCATAGTTAAAGAGGCAGACGCAGACAGGGCGAGTACGTTCAGGGCAGTGCCCTCTGCCGGGCTGTATTTCCAGTCTTTTCCCCAACAAGTGCCCATTTCTGGAATGCCACCCCCCTCCCACTATGTAAAGTTGAAAATGGAGACAAGGCAGTATTATCACTTACTTCTTTCTTCTGAAATTATTCCTCCTTTCCTACCTCCCAGCCACACTCCTTTATCTCAAATTCACCAGATTATATGGCAAAGGCACAAGGGCTTTGCCATTTAACAGTTACAGGGCCCTACCCTCCACTGCATGGCAGTGTTGGGGAAGGGAGGGTGGTCTTCAAAACTCATGGTTCTCATCTTCAAGAAAATAATTGAGGAAGAAACAGAAGTGTGTGTGTTTTTTCAGAAAACAGAAGTCGAAGGAAAAAAGGCAACGGCATAATATACACCCTAAAGACATGGCCCCGTGCCCGATGAGTAGCCTGGAAAACTCGCATTATGGGTTTGAAGGGCAAGCTCACAAACGGGTTATTCTGCTCAGCAGAGATTCGACAAAAGATGGGTTGTTTGAGTCGGGTCTTCGAGGATGGGAAGAATTTAGATACACAGATGGAGTGGGGACCAGAGGGCATTTCAGGCGAGGGGTGGGGAGTGGTGAAAGCAAAGGTTAGGAGACGGAGCAGGCACAGTGATCAATCAGTGGAGGGTCAAGGGTGCAGCAGGAAATAGGCAGGAAATAGGCAGGAAAGCAAGGAAGGGCCCAGCGAGGAGGTCCTGGAAGGCCACACCAGGGAAAGAGACCATCAGCATGTAAATAGTGGCACTGAAAGCTGCGGTTCAGGAATATTGACCTGGAATAGTTGTAAAGGGAAACACAGCGGTGACATGGGTGCCTGGAGGGCACGTTGGAGGTTCCTGAGGTGATGGAAGGGGGTGTGAGTGACATAGTGAGAGCTGTGGGAAGAGGCGAGAACATGACTAAGGAAGACAGAAGTTGGTCTATTTAATTAGATGCCTAGGATGAAGAAGGAATCAATGATTTATTGCATATGGGGGAAATGATGTCTTAATCTCTGAGAATCCAGTTTTATTCTTTATTTATAAATAAGTAGGAAAAACCCATCTACTGGTATTATTGGAGATGTGGCAAAAATGTCCTCAATTCTTGACCTTTCCTTGTAGCCACCCCTTGTGATGTGACTTTGCAGCTCCTCCCATTGGCAGGTGGTGTCTACTTCTCCACCCGGGAGTCTGGGCTGGCCTTGGCCTTGTGTGGGCAGCACTGTGCAGGAGAGGGTGGCTAGTTCTGGGCCCAGACTTCAGGAGTCCTTGAGTTTCTTCTCTCTCAGAAGAAGAAACCACTGCATGAGTCACCACTGGATGGTGAGACAACAAACAGCTCTATCACTCCACTGACCTAGGCACCAGAGCAAATGAGGCCATCCCAGACCCCAGACCAAGACCATCCTAGACCAACGCCAACCTAGACCAAGACCAACCTAGACCAAGGCCAACCTAGATCAAGACCATCCTAGACCAAGACCAACCTGGACCAACGCCAACCTAGACTAAGACCATCCTAGACCAAGACCATCCTAGACTAAGGCCAACCTAGACCAAGACCATCCTAGACTAAGGCCAACCTAGACCAAGACCATCCTAGACTAAGGCCAACCTAGACCAAGACCATCCTATACCAAGGCCAACCTAGATCAAGACCATCCTAGACCAAGACCAACCTGGACCAACGCCAACCTAGACCAAGACCATCCTAGACTAAGGCCAACCTAGACCAAGACCATCCTAGACCAGTGATGGCGAACCTTTTGAGCTCGGCGTGTCAGCATTTTGAAAAACCCTAACTTAACTCTGGTGCTGTGTCACATATAGAAATTTTTTGATATTTGCAACCACAGTAAAACAAAGATTTATATTTTTGATATTTATTTTATATATTTAAATGGCACTTAACAAAGAAAAATCAACCAAAAAAATGAGTTCACGTGTCACCTCTGACACGCGAATGAGTTCACGTGTCACCTCTGACACGCGTGTCATAGGTTCGCCATCACTGTCCTAGACTAAGGCCAACATAGATCAAGACCATCCTAGACTAAAGCCAACCTAGACCAAGACCATCCTAGACTAAAGCCAACCTAGACCCAGCCAACACCAGCTGGCCAGACACAGGTGAGCAAGCCCAGGAGATCAGCAGACCCACCCAGGCTCCTGAGCAGGAATTAACGCTCACTGATAAAGCTGCTGCTATTTGTGGCTGTTTGTCACTCGGCACCACTGTATATCTGTGCCTGTGTTAGGTATCAATGATTAGATATTATGCATGAAGGGCTTTACTTTTGCATGTTACACGTTGAAGAGAGAAAAGCCCAAATCCAAGCTCATACCTGAGGCAGGATAGTGATGCGGAAGGATCTGCTGGAGTTCTCCTCTCTCAGGTAGATGGAGATTTTCGGGAAGTAAGACCAAGGTGTTTCGGAATTCGCCCAGCATGCCAGCTGGGACCCAGTCCAGAAACCATCCGAGAATTCTGGAATCTAGACAAAACACGGTAACGTGAGAACTAATGACTAGTCTGGCGCGTCAACAGGAAACAGCTCCCGGCTTTTCTTGTCACCTCGCCAGATGCCCACGGGGATAAACAGGGTTTAATTTGGACAGCACAGCGGAGCCATCAGTCCTCTGGGGGGTAACGGTGCTGACAAATAACAATTATTAAAACACTGAGGCTTGTGGAGCACTCGCCAGCATTAGGCACCTTTATAAGCGCTTTGCAGTCATAATTACATCAATCCTCAAACACCGCCATCAGTGCGGTAACATTACCCCCTCTACTTCACGATGAGGACACCAAAGCACAGAGAGGTGAAGCGGCTTGCCCAAGGTAACACAGTAGTTGGCAATGACCCTTTAAAAGAGAGGCCAGATCCTAAATGTGGCCCTCAGGACCTTCCAGGCATCACCTCTCCTTTGAATTCCCCGTGCCCAGCGAGCTTCCCCAGGTGCAGAGCCCCTTGTGAGCGCTCCGCTCTTCTGGAACATCCTTCTCTCCATATCTCAGCTCAGATGATGCCTCCTCCAGGAAGCCCTCCCTAACTCCCCCACAGAATGCTGGTCCTCCACTGGGTATTCCCCTGTAGCAGTTAGTTTGACATTTACTATGTTTGGTTCACTTCTGTTTCCTGCACTAGGATCTGAGCCCTCTAAGGACAGAGGCCTGCTGTCTGCATCCACTTCCGGTCCTAACACCTAGCCCATCAGGGAGATTCAGGAAAGATTGTGGGAAATATGAATGGGCGGGAACACAGAACGTCCACCTGTGCCTCTCGTCAGGGGACTGGAAGGACAGTCACCCAAGCATGTCTACTAGTTGCTGAATCTTTAAGTGAATGACAGGTTCCAGCCACGCCATCTCGCCAGGACCAGCGAAGGCACCAGAGCAGGCCTGCCCTGGGCCTGCCGGCTCCCCGAGGGAGGACTGTGTGGGAGGCTCCTTGGCTACCACACGTGCCCCTTCCAGCACAGAGCCCTGCTCGGGCGTTAGCTGGGGGCGTATGTGGTGGGGACAGAGCTAGGAGAGTATTGACGGGGAGGAAGGCGGGTGTTTGTCCCTGAGGTAGGAACACCTGGGCTGAGTTGAGGGACAAAAGGGCGAAAGGGTATGGGTGAGGTATGGTGCAGGGGGAGGGCAGACGAAAGCACTGGGGACACGGACGACAGCCACGGAGGCTGGTGCAGAGGACAGGAAGGCGCATGAGACAGGCACGGAGAGAACCAGGGCACCCCTGTGCATTTATCAGAAATCGTTTCTCAGAGGCCTGGGCTCTGTGGCGCACCGGTGTCATTGCGGCACTCAAGTGGGACGTGCAGGTCACTTGTTGCCGGAGTCCAGACTCTGGGGGCTGAGCCAGGGCGAGACGCTGAATTCCAGAGTCCCGGACAGGAGGGTGGGACGCGGTGATGTGGCCGTGGACAGACCACTTGGGGCCTAGGACCCACCCAGAGAAATGGGCAGGGAGAGAGACCCCCCAACAGGGCCCAGGGCTGGGAAGAGGTGCCGGGAGGAGGGTGTGATGGAAGCCGAGGCAGTAAGCACGCGGCCGTGGAGAACATGTGGGGCAGGTACAGAGGACACCGTGGCGGGACAGCATGAACCGGGTGTGTCCCGTGCTACACAACCGCACACACAGGCGCCAGCCCTCCCTCCCGCCGGGTACAGAGCGAGAAAATATCCTGTGTCTCTCCATCCATCAAGGCTGCCCCCTGGACCGCCCAGGAGTGACCTGCAAGATCTCTAATGCGGGCTTTAATGCAGTTTCTCCTTTGAGAAAAGGGAAGTCGATTGGAAATGGGCGTCCTAGGGACGAACCTCTTGCCAGACGATGAGGCGAGGCAGTCATTTTGCTGGAAAGGGTGGCTCGGCTGCCCCACGGCCCACAGCTCTAACGTCAGCACTAAGAGCAGGTCCGGCCACAGATGGCGAATGAGGCTCAGAGAGGCCAAGTCACTGGCCTGAGGGGCCCAGCTCAGAACCAGCTCTGGGACCACCTGCCTCCAAAGGAGTCTGGAAAGCCTCCGGGGTTAAGCCACGTGGGGGTTCAGGCCTCAGGTCACAGAGCTCTAATGCCAGAAGTCATCTGGAAGCGGGGTCCTCTGCTTGTGCGTGTTAGAGGTGCAGAAGCACGCGGCCTGAGACGCAGGGCGCCACAGCTGGGCAGGAGCGGAGCCCAGGCTCGGCCACACACAAATCCCCACCGGGCTCATTTCAAAATACACACCCACCCACCATGCGTTTCTATAATCCCAGGCGACAGTCCACGCAGGAGCCAGAGCCCAACGTTCGTCTTGTGTTCGCTCTCCGAGGCCAGCCTTTCCCTGACCCGAAAGAAGACCAGGCCGGAGCGGCTCCCAGGGCCCAGCCCAGAGAGAACAAACGCGCCTTTGGTGCGCACACAAAGGCCCGCAGAGCAGTGCACACCCTGCCCCAGACAAACCGCCTTCCCAGGTCGCTCCTCCTGACGCAGGCTCCGGTTCACGGGATCTGTGGCGACAAGGCAAACAATGTCGTAACTGCCTTCCTCCAACTCGTGGTTTTCCTACAGAGCCAGGCACTGCCCAACCCGTGATCTGATGACCTCGGGGTGCCAACACCTGCCGCCACAGCCCCGCGCTCTCACGGCCGCAGAGGTTCCGCTGGTGGTCAGGCACTTCCTTGGCCCAGGGGAAGCGTTCATAGCTCAGAGCATTACACCTGACGAGGCTCGTGTGGACTCTGCTGCGGACATTTTCACTGCTGAGGGAAATGGGCAGATGGCTCCGTAATTCGAGCATCGAGCCTGGTCTGATCTGTCGCCAGCATTCTGAATGTCAGGCTCTAAAACTTCACCGCCGTTTCTTGTCTGATTCAGTGGATATTAGACGGCTCTGGGCTGCCGCCTTGAAGACTTTTCAGTTCCAAAAGGGCCTCCACGTTCTTGCTTTTTTATTTCCCCTCTGCATTCTTTTTGTTTGCCTGCTGCTCTTCCCAGGGCAGTTTTGTCTGTCTGTCTGTCTGTCTATCTGTCTATTTATCTATCTATCTATCTATCTATCTATCTATCTATCTATCTATCTATCATTAATCCTATCTATCTATCTATCTATCTATTTATCTATCATTAATCCTATCTATCTATCTATCATTAATCCTTACCCGAGGAAATTTTTCCCATTGATTATTAGGGAGAGTGGAAGGGAGTGAGGGGGAGAGAGAGAGAAACATCAATGTCAGAGACATCGATTGGTTGCCTCCCGCATGCGCCCCAACTGGGGCCGGGGAATGAACTTGCAACCCAGGTATGTGCCCTTGACCGGGAATACCCTTCAGTGCACAGGTCAATGCTCTACCACTGAGCCACACCGGCCAGGGCCCCATGGCAGTTTCAGGCTTTTGAAGTTTCTATTCAGGACAAGCCCTCTCTCCCTCCCCAGGTTCCCGCCATCACCTGTAATAAAGCAACTGCTGTGCCTTTTCCTATCAATCATTCTTTGAATTTGGCCATCCCCGAGATAACCAGCCGAGTTAGTAACAGGATAACGACTCTGGGAAACACTCATTTCCGGTGACTTTGCCAGGGTGGCCCTGCGTGGACAGATGTTTATGATAAAACACCCAAGCAGCTGGGGGAAATGTGTATCTTGCATTCACACAGTAGCAGCACCGCAGTGTGTTCACTGGCTAGCAGCTCCTCTTTCCCGAGCACCTGGGTGCCAGGCACTGGACCCTAGACCTCAGCACAACCCCGCTGACAACGTGGGGCTCTCAGAGGGCCCGTGACCCTCCCCCAGGCACCCTGCTCATACAGCCAGAAACCAGACCAACTTCAATTCCATCTCACCCCAAAGCTGTGTCCTTCCCAATCCATGCCAGCTGGTCCACTCTGATGCCCCAAACTGGAAAATTGGGGTCACCCTGGGAATACCATCAGCCAGGTCCCCAAAAGGTACTTGTCTTTGACCGCAATTTCAATTGTGTTACTGAACGTGACCATACAGTAATTATTGTATTGGCCAACTAGTCCTTGTCACCTATAAATCACATTCTTTTACAACAGAATTAAAATCCCAACATGGCTTTAATGAGGCCTGAAAGGAGTATGATTTTTGGTTTATTTCTTTAGTTTTAAAGGCTACACGCATATTCCTGGTTTACTATTTTAACGTAGTATATTGCCAATTTTTTTTCTTAGATTAAAAAACTGTATTGCACCAACTACACCATCATTTGAAATACAAAAAAAGGCGCTGCACCTTCAGATCCCAGTTCTCCCAGGTTAAAATGAAATAATTATTTGCCAGTTAACATCAAATAATAAGATTGTGAACTTAATAAGTAATAGTTAAAAAACACACAACCCTTAAACCCTCAGAGGGAGACCATTAGAGCAGTGATGGCGAACTTATGACACCCGTGTCAGAGGTGACACGCGAACTCATTTTTTTTGGTTGATTTTTCTTTGTGAAATGGCATTTAAATATATAGAATAAATATCAAAAATATAAGTCTTTGTTTTACTATGGTTGCAAATATCAAAAAATGTCTATATGTGACACGGCACCAGAGTTAAGTTAGGGTTTTTCAAAATGCTGACACGCAGAGCTCAAAAGGTTCGCCATCACTGGAATAGAGGGTAACGCTGCCCAGCACGTGGTCGTGACCTGGTGTTCTCCGAGGTCCATCCGCGCCCTGAGACTCACCAGAGACGCGCGGGCCACGCCTTCGACCACCGCATCAAACACCTTGTGGGGCAGGCGCAGCAGTGTGGTGCCGCTGTCCACGATGGCCTTGTCCGCGTTATACTAAAAGGGGAAGGAGGGGAGAGAAGGCGCATGAGTGACACGGCACCAGCCCGCCATCACTGGGCATCCGTTACGGACAAGTTCGAGCAGCCACGGCCCCTCCTTGGTGGTTACCATGAATTTTACATTCTCAGAACTAACTTTCAGCCCATTCTCACTTCACAGATGAAGGAACTGAGGCCAGAAAAGGGAAGCGACGTGACCAAAATCCACAGCCCTCCCAATGCAGAGCCTGTCCCTCAGGCAGAGGTGTCCAAATGCCCTTGCCCGGGAGCCTCCCCGGGCAACCAGGGAAGACCCCCTTGTCCTCAGAGGGTGCGATGGCACATTAAATGCCATTTGCACACCTCACACAAGCCAACCCTCCCTTATGCTGCCCATGGAAAGAGAACCAGAGCCACATTCAGTCAGAGCATCACACACCCGCACACAGTCTGTATTTTATTTCAGGCCCTGGGGTTCTACCACTGGATTCCTTCATGGCGAGTAAGTGCCCTCTGACCTTAAACACAGAGCTGTGGACGTGCAGTCTCAGTGGAACGGACCGCCGTCTATCCCATGTCTGCGGGTTTCTCAGAGGCGTCTGTGTGCATGGGCCTTGGTGGGGGACTGTGACGGGGCGTATGAAAGGGTGGGATGCCGAGGTTGGAGGCATGAGGGAGGGATATAATGAAATGCTGGGGGTTTTCATAAACCATGCTGAGAATATCGTAGTGGACGAAGGCTCCCTCAAGTCATCATAATCATGATGCCATCATGTGCCACAAATACGCCACCATGCCGTGAGCGGTGTGAGCAGGTTCGTAATGGCTCTGGTCTTGCAGCCCTGCACACCTGCCTCCTTTTAGCATAGCAAGCCATTCCCATCCTTAGGGCGTAACTTTCCTCTGAGTGAGAATTATATAGGGGGGTGGGGGATGGTTAACTCTGAAGGAAAAATAAAGCTGATGATTCATTTTTACTTTCGTTCGGCTTATTTTTGACCCCCTCTGTCCCTGACACTGATGGAACCCGTATATGCAGCCTCTTCAGCAGAGTCAGGGACCACCAGGCCCATAGGAATGGCGAAGGTATAGCTCCAGGTACTTCTCCTCACTCACCATGTTGTGCTAATTTTTTCCTATTAAGCCAAGTGATGGTGAAAAAACATTTTTATTTATTTTAGAGAGGGGTCGATTTAAACTTGTCATACAACTGAAGGCCCTGTAACTTTTAATGTCATGAGTCTTTGATTTATCTTGTGGTGTAATGTACCTTCTGATTTTTCATATGCAGGTCCCACCCGCCATATTTAGGTGCCTCGGGCACACACAGACAGGTAGGCACAAAGAGCTCACAGGGCAGGTACCTCTCTGCAGTCCAGATTAAGGCTCTGGCCTCCGACTTCCAACTTCAGAATTTCGATCTGATAATACCACTCCTCCTTAATCGGGGTATACCAGATGTCTCCTTTGTACAAACTTGGTTCAATTCCTCCCAGGACCTAGGAAGGAAAATAGTAACAGGGATGAGAGAGAAAACACCCAGGCATACAGCACGTGACACCAAGCAGCGTGCCCTTGTAAGTCAGTCCCTCATTGGAATCGTACTTTCACTCCAGTCTGATGTTACAAAACAAATGTACTAGTATATGCTTGAAAAGTGAACAGGGACCGTTAAGGGCCTAGTAGCCACAGGTCAGACAACACTCTGCCCCGGTCTAATCAAGATGCTCTGGGGTTTCCCTCCCCGACAGGAAGCACACGTAACTCCAGCTTCACCGTACGCAGACTGTGCCCCAAAGAAATGCAGTGAAGTAGTTAACCACCCAGCCTGACCGTGGCTTAGCCCTCAGAACAGAGGATGCCCTCCTCCCCCACACAGTGCTCGGAAGCAGAACACAAGGGAGCTTCCTTAATCAAAACTTCATTTTGCAAAACTACAGAACCTTGCTCCACAAATCCTAGGCCCCCCTCTCCTCTGAAGAGGGGGTAACCAGGTATTAAAAGCAGCTGCACTGCCCTAGCCGGTTTGGCTCAGTGGATAGAGCATCGGACTGCGGACTGAAGGGTCCCAGTTTGATTCTGGTCAAGGGCATGTACCTGGGTTTCGGGATTCACCGGGTGCAGGAGGCAGCCGACCAATGATTCTCTCTCATCATTGATGTTTCTATCTCTCACTCTGCCTCTCCCTTCCTCTCTGAAATCAATATAAATGTATTTTAAAAGGAAAGAGCAACTGCACTGATAGCAAATGCAAGTGGCCGAGCCTGCTTCTCACAGCTGGAGAGCAAAGGCGTAGGCAGCACCCACCCTGAGGAAGGCGCCCTCCTGTGCTTTCACCTGTCACCTCCTGCTTGAGACATCAGGGTGCAGGTTCCATCAAGGGACACTCAGGGCTGATGGCCTTGAATGATTCTGTTTCACTAACTAACACTTTAGCTCTGTGTGTGTGTGTGTGTGTGTGTGTTTGTATTGGGGGGGGGGATGACATACAGGTGTTCTTGTCTCCCCAAACGTATGAAATCACAGGCACTGCCTTTGCGTCCCCTCCCCAGATTGAGGCCCACCTGCACACCCCCTACTATTTCTCACCTGCCCCTCCCCCACCCATCAAAACCAGTTACCTTTCAAAGGAAAACTTTAAAAAAACTTTAATGGAATCTGGGGGAGCCATGAGAATCATCTTTGGGATGGCAGGACGATTAGGAAAGGTAAAAATAATAGCTAATCTTATTCATTTTTTAAAAGGTTCTATAATAAGGATTATCAAACCCTTCCAAGACTGGTGTTTGCCTACATGTCTAGTATTTCTATCAGGGTCTTTAATAAAATAAAATAAAAAAGAGCCCCAGTGGTTTGTGAGTTTCTTTCGCCTCTTTCAGACGGAAAGATACCCACAAGACTACCTCCGTTGGTACCAGATCCGTCCACGGGCAGTCCCGCCCCACACATCTGCATGGAGAAAACGTTGGGGATCCCGGCTTGCGTCACGAGGGAATCGAAGAACGTCTCCAGGGAACTCGATGGCTGCGGAGGGAGGACAGGGACAAGGCTTCAGACTCACGGGCCAGACGAGGAGTGACCCAGGGTCGACACCACTGCGTATTTGTATTTCCCGTTTCTCGCGGCTAAACAATAAACAAGCTTAGGATTAAGTACCTTCAACAATAACTCACAACCCTCCAACAGGACTTCCTACCGCGTGGCATTTTTCCTGTTGGTTGTAGGAGTGAGAGTGTTCCCGGAAGCTATGGGGAGGCTGTTCCATTTATCATCACGACTGCCCGGCCAGGCGGCGTGAGAAGCTGGGGAAGTGGGTTTCCACGGTAGCGGGTGGACTCTAACTGCAGACATTTCGGAGGAAGGAGAGAGCAGGGTCTCCCGGGCCGGAGGTTGTCTGCACTTCTTTCAGCCACAGTTGTCTGCCCATCATGCAAGTTAGAGATGCCGGACCCAGGGGACAGTTTGTCTCAGACCCCAGACCAGGGACAGGGCGTGGCTTGGCCAGCTGTCTGCTGAACTCTGGTGAGCGGGGATTTAGCGGAAAAGAAGCATTGCTCTGCTCCTCAAGTTGAAAAGCTGGATCACTGATTCCCCACCGCCGAATTTCACTCTATGCCTTCCTTACACGTAGCCATCCATGGCGAGGACGCCCCCATTGCTCCAGGACTCAGAAGAGAGAGGGACGGTCTACAGACAGCTCTGAGGTGGGGGTGGGCCACGGGTGCTGGTGGTCACAAAGGAAGGTCATAGGCTTGCATTTAGATTTTGGCTTTGACAGCTGGGAGATAGGAGAGTTAGTCACTGTGAGGGTTAGTTTTGGGTGCAAACTTAATTGTAGTAGCATGGATGCTATAGGCATATTCCAACAACGTGTGGTTCACAGAAGGCACGATCATTTATTATCTACAAGATAATAAAACTTATGATCTATAATTCTTCAGGGAGGAAGGAGAGAGCCCCCCTAGCAAACATACACCTTCCCATTTGTTGAGCTCATTTGCACGGTCTCCCACTCAGCTCCCGTGGAATCTGGCGAGTCTGGGACCATGTCTCTATGATTTGTTGCAGGACTTTGTGTTTGGGTCAGTGAGTGAGACGAAGGCGTCTCTGGACACAGGTTGGGCTGGTGCTGACCCAGGGGGTGTGGACATGGGTTGGGCTGGTGCTGACCCAGGTGAGTATTATCCTGTCGTCCATCTCCCTGAGAGGCAGCAAGGTAACCACTGCGCAGGACTGAATCCTCGCTCCACCCTTGCTTAACCCTGGGCCTTGCCCCTTTGTTTCCCAATCTGTAAAATGGGATGATAATGGACTCCCAGAGCGGTTCTCAGCTTAGATGGGTGTTATCTCATAAAGGCTGGGCGCAGAGCCTGGCACAGTCAGGGGTCTGTTACGATTCCGTCAGGTCACCTCAGTAGGACTGTGCCCAGCGCCCCTGTAGAGGTTTCAAAGCACACCGTTCCCACGACCAAGAGAACCTGATTCAGGGGGATGCTTGGACCTGAGCATCTGCAGGAGGGGAGCCCCCGTGGGTGGTTCCTCGGTGGGAAGCATCTGGGGTCCACCAGGGACCGCCACACACCATGGCCACCACTCACTGTTTGTCAACCCACTTGGGGCCACCACCCAACCGCCCTGCCTGTCCCTGCTCCCTACACATTCTCTCTGTCTCCCCAGCTCCACGAGTGTGGGGCCAATTGTTGCTCGTCTTGGAATTTCACAGATGAAAAGATAAAAGGTCACATGGAAAGTCTGGAAACCCCCACGTAGTTATTCCCAAGGGAAGTTTCACATGTTAGTCATTCCGGATCATTTAGCTCGCCTCTACCGTCTTCCAAATAATCAGCATGAAAACAGTCAGACCCACATCTTTCACTTGCAAAGTCACATGAAGATGGAATGTTTTGCCCGGGGTCACATGGTTGGTGAAAATATATTAAGAAATGAAAGTCACGCAAATCTCATACTAAGCTTGGCCTAGGTACTGAGAAAAGAGGGGGGTCCGGAACTGGTCTGGGCCCCACAGACAGTGAGACACGGCAGCTGGGGCTCTGACTGTCCTGGGCGAGGTGGGACCTCTGATCCTCAGTAAACACACCTCAAAAGTGGGGTAACTTGACCTTACAAGTCAGCCCCTCGGGGAGCTCACGAGAACTGACGTCTTTGATGTTCTCAGCCGCGTGTCTCAGGCTAGTCTTTCTCCTTAAGAAGCCACAGGGCTGGGGACCATCCCCCTGCCCGCTCACTGTCCCCGCTACACCCCAACCCTCCCCGCCCCTGCACCATTTGCTAGAAACTTGAGCTGGAACAAATGTCCTTATGAGGCGAGAGAGCAGGCCTTCCCTCTGGGATCCTCAGGGACCCCTGGGGCTCTGTGGTCACCAGCCTGCTGCTCCTGCCCGGCCTGCTGCTCCTGCCCGGGCTCCCACTTAGCTCTGCTCAAAACCTGACCCTGAGCGAGGAGGTGTGGTGCCCGGGCACAGGCAGGAGGGGTGACCTCCTTCTGCTTTGCTCAGGTGTCTGCAGACCTGCCCAGAGGTGCTCAGTATCTAAGTCGCCTGCCCTTGGCAGCCCTTCCCTGTGGAAAGTCCCCGGCCTTGGCCTCGGCCAGCTCGCCTCCCTCTCCCGCCCGCCAGCGGCGCTTCCTCCATGGCAAACACTGGAGAGCGTGCAGCCCTGCCCTTCCTGCTTGCGAAGGCGCTGATGCTGCCGAGAGCAAGGGTCCCCCTTTTCCTCAGCCTGTGACTACTTCCAGTGGCCGGTGGTCCCAAGGCAGGCTCGCTCCCCAGGTGTCCCTGCTCCGGCCGCAGGTGTCCCTCACAGGCCCTCTCAGCCTGCCGGGCCACCCCCTGCCGAGGTCCCGTGTCCCCTGTAGCTTCCATCTTCATAGGAGCGTCTGACTGTAATAAATGTGTTTTCTCTGAACCCTACGCTAATAAAAACTCCTAAACAAAACCACAAAGCGATTCAGGTTCTCAATATTTTCAAACTATACGAGCAAAATAGATAAAAACAAAAGACGAACAATAAGTAAGGGTACCAGGTTATCTTGCAGGAAGGTTCAAAAATTGTGCCATGAACCTTTAATTTTAAAAATGCCTAGAAATTTCATAAACTGTGTGACCATCTCCGACGGCCTGGACCCGTTCACCAGCTCCTCTGATGAGGGGTTTGCGGAACCTCCTCCCATCGCTCCGTTCCTTCGGCCCCCGATGATGCTCACCTTGGCCAGGGCCGCGTAAGCGAGCCCCAGGATCCCATTCCACTGAATGCCAGGCAGGAAGAAATTCTCCGACTCGAAGATGGTGGCGACGTTGACGAGGAAGGAGGTGTTGAAGCCCTTTGTGATGGTGACCAAGTCCTCCCCCACGGAGCCCGTCCAGCTGCCTTGTGTGTACTTCACGGTGACATCAAAGTCCTTGGGACGGTAAGTGCTGGACCTGGAGGGAGAGGAGAAGGCAGGGTCGTGTTCTGCCTGGTGTCCGTGTCCCGCCGGCCGGCCGCGGTGGCTGACAGCTGTCCTAAACCCAGTCAGCTGCAAGCAGTTCCCACCAGTGTGCACTGGACACAGCCACATCTCCCCCACACGGATCGCTACTACTGTGTGGGTGACAGCTGTAGCAGGAAATACTGGGTTAACACGTGGCCCCTATGCATACCCCTCTCGCACCCCCGTAAAGGCCCACACGCCAGCTGCTTCACGTTACTGTGTCAGCCCGTGAAGGCACAACTGAGTGTGGGCACCTGCCTGGCCGTCTGGCTGGGTGGGGACCCTGCACCGGGCTTGGTTACAGAGGGAGGGGTGAGCAGCGCCACCAGCTTGTGCCAGCAGCGGCCGAGGGCTCAGATTCACACAACCAGTGAAGTGAGTAAAGACGAAGCCATTCCCGCCAACGCCACAGGCCTCCCTCCCCCTCAGGCCCCACACTACCCCCTGATGTCCCAGGTTCCTTCAGGGCTCCCCCCAATGCCCCAAAGTTGATCAGACTCACAGCAGAATGTGGGGGGGTGAAGCAATGGCATGCTTGATACAAATTACTGCGACACCATCTCCCACCCCATATGCATACAGCCCTAAGCGTAGGAGTTACTCAAACACAGTGACAGAACGAGGTAAGACCATGGACAGGACAAATGACACAGACAGACAACAGGCAAGTGAACACATAAAACTCCCGTGATGAGAGCTATCCAGGGGATAGAGCTACAGCAAGCATGTCAAACTCAAGGCTAACACGGGCCAAATAAACATGGTTTAAGTTTATGTGGGCCGCAAAGAAAACAAAAGCTTCAATTTTCATAGCAACGTGGGTTTATTTCGATAGAGACACAGTGAGTACAAAGGACTGAAATAAATGAGTAATCATTAACATAAAATAATAGAACATTTTAATAAAAATTAATATTTTTTCTTGAACATTAACTTACCAGACACTGAATAACTACACAAATGAATAAGCGTAATGCAAATAAACCTATTTTTCTTGTTCTCCGAAAGTGAAATATTTCCTGTTGCACACACGAAACAAGTCAGTCCAAGACTAATGCCATGGCCATCGGCTGCTAAAATATTCACTGCTAGTATCAGTGGAGAGAAATGGTGCGTCTGCACGTCAGGCATGTGAGGGAAGTGAATGCAACACAATGATAGTAATCAGTCATTAGCGAATGTTATAGTTCGTTATTAATAATGATGTATAACAGGATATTGTAAAAATTAAGTTACGAAATTTGTATTAAAACGTTTCTTACATACCGTTATATTGACTGGGCCGCAAAAATATTCGTTGTGGGCCACATGCGGCCCGGGGTTCGTGAGTTTGACATGCTTGGTCTAGAGTGTTCTTGGTGGCCTCCAGTTTTCACTCCCCCTCTGTCCTAATATTAAGTCTCTAAACATTAATGTTAACACTCCTTTGTGTTAGAATTCCATGAATTAGTGCAGTCCTCTTTGGAGTCGGGAAGCAAAGTTAGTCAGAGATGACAAGACCTTCTTTTTTTGGTACATCAGAGAGGTTTTAAAATAATGGCCTTTGATTCAGTAAATTGCACTTCTGAGACTCTGACCCTAAGGAGACACCCAGGAAGCAGACAGAGGTTTATGTACAAAGACAGTCATTATGTTTTACTGAGAACAGTAACAACTGGAAACCACCCACATGCCCACACAGAGGAGCTGCTTAGTAAATTATCATACACCCATATGATGGAATATTACACAGCACTAAAAAACAGTATTTACTGAGAAATTTCCAATGACAAAAAAAACAAGGTAAAAAAATGTATACATGTGGCAGAATCTTCTTCAAGAAGCGCGGTGGGGTTTTGTGGGGGAAATGTGGTTAGGCCCTTCATACACGTCACTTTAATATTTAGGACAACATAAGTAACTTTTTAAAATATGTTTTTTTATTGATTTCAGAGAGAAGAAGTGAGAGGGAAAAAGAGATAGAAACATCAATGAGAAAGAATCATTAATCAGCTGCCTCCTGCACACCCCCTACTGGGGATCGAGCCCGAAACCTGGGCATGTGCCCTTGACTGGGCATCAGGCTCGGGTGACCTCTTGGTTCATGGGTTGACACTCAACCAATGACCATCCCAGCCGGGCAAGAGAACACGTAACTTTTATAATTAGGGGAATATATAACTTTTAAAAATATCTTCACCCGAGGGTATGCTTATTGATTTTAGAGAGAGTGGAAGGGAGGGAGGGAGAGGGAAAGGGAAAGGGGGAGAGAGAGAGAAACATTGATAAGCTGCCTCCCATACGTGCCTCCACCAGGGATCAAACCGGCAACCTAGGTATGTGCCCTGACTAGGCATCAAACCTGCAACCTTTCAGTATATGGCACAAAGTTCCAACTCACTGAGCCACACTGGCCAAGACTATAACTTTCATATATGTAACCTTTATAATTAGGGGAAAACTATTTATAACTTTTATCATTAGGGGATATATATATATATATATATACATATATATATATATAAAACTTTTATCATTAGGGGGGAAAGTTATTTTAAGAATGTCAAGGCAGACAGATTTTGGAAAGACTTAATTCATTCTAACTTTGTAATGGAATGTAGACTATGAAGAATGCATAACTTTAATATTTACTACGTTAGTTCACATCCTTAAAGTGAGAGCACATGACGTGCACAGCCCTGACAAGGGCAGGTACAGAGGACACTCGAGTGGGGAGCCCTGGGGCTCTCCAGAAATGACTTAGGGAATGTGCAGAGTCTGGTCAGGGAAAGGTGGGCGCCTGAGGACTGGTGAAATGCCAAGCGTTAGTGCCGACAGAAATTCAGGTGTGCTTGGCAGAGAGCCGGGGCTGCATTCGTTTACGCTGAATAATAATAAAAACAGTGAATTATTCAGTCCCTTCTGACAATTCGGGGTCATCCCTCAAGTTAAAAAACACACGACTGCTAACAGAAGATGCTAATTATTTTGAAATGCTCGGAGAATGTGATCTAGCACAGGGTCGGCACCCCCTTTCTGTAAAGGGCCAGAAAATACATGGTTAAGTTTTTGTGGGTCACATGACCTCCGTTTCAGCTACTTGGCTCTGTGAGGATAATGAGCAAGCAGCCTCTGACAATACATAAGCAAATGTGCCTGGCTGGCTGTGTTCCAATAAAACTTTATTTACAAAGCAGACAGCTAGTTTGCCAGCTCCTGATCTTGGAGATCAGCTATCTCCCCCAAACAGTGGAAAAGTACCATCACTTTCTTTTGAGAAATGGTTTTACTTTCACTGCGTCCAGGCTACAGAGAACAATAGAATCTGCTCATGTTCGCGCTGAGAGCCTGAACATCTACTGAATATGCCTTCTGTAGTTTTCCAACCAGGCTGCCAGTCCCCTCTTGGCGGGGGACAATCTGGATGTTTTGTTGTCATTTGCAGAGAGATGAGAGGCAGTTGCAGCTACACTGCTCAGGTTCAAATACCAGTGCAGCCACTTATCAGCTGTGTGACCCTGGGTCACGTCATTTAACCTCGCCATGCCTCAGTTTCCTCAACTCAAAATGGGAAGAATACAGCACCATACCTCGTGGGGTTAATTTTGAGGATTAAAGAGTGACTATGTAAAGCACTTGGAACAAAACCCTGGGACACAGCAGGTATACAACAAAAATAGCTGCTGTTATAATGATCTAATCACTTGTTACCTTTACTCAATGTATGAATTATTAGAGAATGTAGGAGGTTTTCCCCCTAGAAAATCTTCTGTAGAGCTACTCTCACTGAATATCCAAAACTGTCTCCTTCTGAGGTCTAGCCACCCCCACTGGAGGGGGGAAGTGTGTGGGGAAGGCTTGGTTAAGGCGGCCAGAAAGTGCAGGTTTATAGACGGTACAGTTGGCCCTGGCTGGTGTGGCTCAGTGGATAGAGCATGGACCTGCGGATTGAAGGGTCCCAGGTTCTATTCAAGGGCAAATGCCCAGGTTGCAGGCTCAACCCCTAGTGGAGGGTGTGCAGGAGGCAGCCAATCAAGGATTCTCCCTCATCACTGATGTTTCTATCACTCTCTCCCTCTCCTTTCCTCTCTGAAATCAATAAAAATATACATATTTTTAAAAAGGTACAGTTGTGTTTCAGACCAGCACTGCCCATGAGACCTTGCTGTGAGAAATAGTCTCTGGATGCCGTCCCATACGGCAGCCATGGTGGCTATGGAGCACTTCAAAAGTGACTGTGGTGTGGCTAAACACGGAACATTTACTTAACATTAATTAACGAGCCACACGTGGCTAATGGCGGCCCTTGCGGAAAGCACAGAACCAAACAAAGGGAGAAAGCACTCCTAAACCATATCCCCTGAGACCCGCAAACCCAACCGAGGGCCCAGAGACGAACCGTAAGCAGCTCTGCGGGTTAGCAGCGCAGTTTCCAGCACTAAATTAAAAAACAAGTGCGTTCCTCCCTCTTCACGTTGTAACGTCCTACCTCTTGGCGGTGAAAAGCCTTGGCTCTCAACTGCTCTGCACATTAATTAACCAAATCGAGAGGGAGCCCAGATCGGCTTCTTCTTGATAGCATCCCTCTGCGTGCCCAGAAACAGCAATCCATCAAGGACGCTGGGAGCCAGGAAAAAGTCCACGCACCGCAATAAAATCGCTTTGAACCAAATTCACTCTGATAAGGGTGTTCAGGGAACTTGGGATTGAAAAGTGAAATCAATGGGACGGAGGAGAAGAGAGCCCAGCACATGTTGTTATTGCAAAAGAAACCTGGATGGTTTCAGAAAACATGAAAGAGAAGGAGGAGGGCTCTCCTGAGTCACGCCACCCCGGAGGGTCCCACAGGACTCCGCCGACTCCTTCCTGGGGCGTCTCTGCACATTCCAGAGTTACCTTCAGGATGGTTGGCCTGACCCGGGGACCAGATCCCCCCTGACTCTTCCATGGTCCTGGAAGTGACCAGAACAGTGAGTCGCAGACGGCCAGAGGGCTCTCAGTTAGCCTGCCTGACCTGGTGGTTCATCAGCATTCTCAACAATGGCACATGCGAGTGGGCTCCAATAGGGCCAGTCCCCCCGGCCACTCAAACAACGGGGCAGGGTCAATACCTTATCTAAAAAGTCAGGCAAGCCTGGCCGGTGTGGCTCAGGGGTTGAGTGTCCACCCATGAATCCAGAGGTCACCAGTTCAATTCCCAGTCAGGGCACATGCATAGGTTGCGGGCTCTATCCCCAGCAGGGGGCGTGCAGGAGGCAGCTGATTGAGGATTCTCTCTCATCATTGATGCCTGCCTCTCTCTCTCTCTCTTCTGCTCTCTCTAAAATCAGTAAAAACATATTTGGGGGAAAAAATCAGGCAAAAATGTCTGTCACTGTCACATGGACAGAGGAAGCATTTGGTCTCGGGTTGTCCAGCTCAGCCTCCTTCAGGTCACCAGGTACTTCTCGCATATTCTAACTCCACTGGCAGGCCCCTGTCGAGGAAAGAAATTGCTCCCATGCCTCGCTGATCTGCGGGCTCCACCCCAGGTGGAGTGTGGGAGGCGGGGAAATGCTAATAGAATTATACTTAATTTCCTGAATAGATTAGTAGGTCAGGAAGGATGAGTCTATTGAATCTCTCATCGAGCCAACTGGCTGGAGGCTGTTTTATTGGCTAAAAAAGAAGCACATTCTGAAAAGCACACCGTCTCCCTTTTGCTGCAGAGTAGTTCTCGGGAAACTCGCCGCCCTGGGCAGCGGGCGTCTGATGGGAACGCGCCACACAAATGACTCACGGTAGCCTGAGGTCTCATCTCATAAATCAAAGAGACCTTGTCAAAGAGCCCCAAGCCCAATCCCCAATTACTGGGGAAATGCTTCAGGAAGCATGAAGCCTGAATACCCCATGTCTGGGGGACTTGAATCGGAGGCCGACAAACCCAACCGAGCCTTGTTATAACCGAGGGAGATCAGAGAGCCAAGCAAACTGAGGCATCACAGCGCAGGCGCTGCGCTCAGAGCAGAAGCCTCTGAAAAACTGGGGAAGGCAGCGAGAACCTCCTCCTGGCCTCCACCGAGTGCCGACGGTGCCAAGTGTGCCTCAGGCCAAATGCCATCGTCACCTGAAAGCGGCAGACAAATGCATCACACGTCCTTTACGTTCACGGTCCGTAGCTTTGCAATAATAAATCTGTGTTCCTGTAAGTCCATGAAAGCCTGGGAGACGGAGGACAGGAGAGGGAGGAAGACAAGGTGAAGCTCGGAGGGGGGGGGGGGCAGCTGACAACAAGACGAGCCTGCAGGTCAGCGATGAGCCGCCTCGATCGGGCTCAGCTGAGAGGAAACCGTGGCCTTGCTGGAGAAGGTTCTCTTTACAAGAAAGGTGGGCTCAGGGGCAGAGGCCCCAATGTGAGCAGTGTTCGAAGGTTCTAAGGAAATCTCAGGCCCTCGCCAGTTTGGCGCAGTGGGCAGAGCGTTGGGTCGGCCTGCGGACTGAAGGGTCCTGGGTTCGATTCGGGTCAAGGGCACGTACCTCGGTTGCAGGCTACTTCCTGGCCCGAGCCCTGCTCGGGGCTCCTGCAAGAGGCCACCCATGGCTGTGTTTCTCTCACATTGATATTCCTCTTTGTCTTTCCCTCTCTCTTCCACTCGGTCAATGGAAAAATATCCTCGGGTGAGGATTAAAAAAAAAAAGAAAAGAAAAGCTCAGTAATACTATCAAGCGAGTACATCCAGCTGAGGTTTGAATGACAGAAGTGCCCATGGGACGAACTCACAACGCAGTTTCTGGGGGGAACATCACCAAGACTCTGCGCCAATGAGGAAAATCCCGCCGTCTCCCCAGGCTGCTCTGCGTGCCCGGGTCTATCTCGGTCTGCTTCCTACCAGCCCGCTCTGGGCACCGGGGGCCCGCGGTGAGCTCACAGCCTCCCCTGCAGCATGTGTCTCCGACTGCAGTCGAACCGGAGTGTCTACATATTGAGGCCCTGATTCCTTCGCTATAAATGACCCCCTTTTCCTCCCCAATGTAACATCAGGGCAATCAGAGTTGCGCATGTAGGGCAGTCACATCACCTCTGCATTACTTGCAGGGCACCACAAAGAAACTCATCATAAAACTCAGGGCAACACAAAGGCAACGTTCCCAGCAGCCCAGGCCCCGCGCAGTCTCCCGCTCACCTCCGGGGCCTCTCCCGGCTCGAGTTCACGTCCACTTTAGGACCAGAGAGGCCACAACAAGCACCAAGGACCATGAGCTCTCTGCTCTTGGGTGTAACCACAAAGCTGCTGACTTGCACTTTTCTAAAGCGAATCTCATGAGCATGTACAGAGACGATTAGAATTTCCACAGATGCATTCACACACACACTACACACACACACACACACCACACACACACATACACACACTCACAAACGTACACACATACACACAACTATATACACACATATATCTTCCTTAAGAGGAAACAGACTTCTGGCTGTTTTACTCCAGGGAACTTTGAAGTATTGGTGTGGTGCCCCCAAGCCTGGCCAGACCCATCACTCACCTCTGGGTGTCAAAGTAGGAGTCTATGTAAGGATGCGGGGCGCCGGCCACGGCGAAGTTGCTGCTCCCGGTGTCAACAAGAATCTGCAGCTTTTATTTTTAAAGGGAAAAGAGAGAGACCATCAGGTTACTTGAATAAGACCATACTCTTTGAATGATTCTTCTAAAAATTAACTACTAATCATTTATTGCTTGGAAACACTTGTATCGATTAGAAAATTTTTAAAAAGCTGTTATAAAACTGACATGTGAACACAGCCCAGGAAGAAACTTGCAGCAGGGAGGGGAAACGGTTTTGCCTCCGATTCACAGCAAGCCTTCCAGAGAACAAATTCCACGAAATAGCGGGGATTTCCTTCCTAAGCCATTGGCACGAACAAGGCAGACCCTTCTCACCCCGGCTGTAGTCCAGGTCTGTCACCTGGCTGGGCTCACCAACTCCCGCCTTTCCCAACTCACTTGGAAATCCTGATCCTGCATAGCACCTGGGAACTCTGGTCACAGGTCTCATTTTTTGTTTTAATGAGGTATAATTTACATATACAGTGGGGCCTTGACTTACGAGTTTAATTCGTTCCGAGACCGAGCTCGTTAAGGAGCTTGTTAACTCAAATTATTCTATCAACTCAATGCAAAAAAATCGGCCGAGAGACAGCTGGTATCTCAAAAAACTCCTTAGTCGGGACACTCGTAAGTCAAGGCCCCACTGTAATACAAATGCACGATCTTAGATTTTCCACTGATGCGTTTAGACATGGTGTCCACTCAAACCAAGATAGACATTTCTACTCTTTCCAAAAGGTCCCTTTACGCCCCTTCCCAGTCAACCCCTCCTGTTCTGCAATTCTGATCACTTCCTATGTCATTTAGAGTTTTTATGGAGGCCTCACACTGGGCATAATTGACGAAATCTTTGGCCATTGGTGACTGATTCAGCTTCTAACCTGCCCCCCCCCTCCCCCCAGGAGGGGTGAGGCTGAAAGTTCCAGTCCTCTATCCCAGGTAGCTCCCCATCCTCAGGGGCTTTCCAAAGGCCAGCTCTGGAAGGTACCTGGGTGTGGCTGGAAGGGGCTTGTGAGGAGTAACAAAAAGGCACCTTTATCACGCTAGTCCAGTGATGGCGAACCTTTTGAGCTCGGCGTGTCAGCATTTTGAAAAACCCTAACTTAACTCTGGTGCCGTGTCACATATAGAAATTTTTTGATATTTGCAACCATAGTAAAACAAAGATTTATATTTTTGATATTTATTTTATATATTTAAATGCCATTTAACAAAGAAAAATCAACCAAAAAAATGAGTTCGCGTGTCACCTCTGACACGCGTGTCATAGGTTCGCCATCACTGCTCTAGTCACTTAGGAACTTGCGAGGGTTTCAGGAGCGCTGCCAGGAACTGAGATGAAGACCAAGTATATGTTTCTTTCTTACACATCACAATAGCACACGTGATCCGTGAGAAACAGCAAGGGCCCGACCTGATCCGCCATCAGAATGAAACTTGCCCAGCACCAGGGCCACTGTCCCAACAGTGGACGCCCGGTCCAAGCAACATGAGTGAATGCAGAGTGTCCCCCAAAATGTATACTCACTTTAATAGCTGACAGCTCAATTCTGAGAATGAAATGTATTTTTAAAAACACTGCCTTTATAATGATTCAATGTGTGTGTACCCATTTTGGGGGACACCCTATATATGTAGCTCCCAGGGCCCTGAGTCTGCATCGCTGTCTCCGGGGTTTAAATGTCTCCTGGAGGCCAGGTGAGCTCTTCAAGTTGCCCGGGTGGAAGCAGCAGAGACGTGGAGGAGGAGGGGGAATAAAACCCCAGAATCCCTTCACGAGGCCAATCCGGGAATTCCAGGCCTTTCAGAGAAGGGAGTGCAGTGAGGATTTCTCCTTCTCAGTCATGAAAAGTCCCAGAAAACAACATACAGATACCGGAACCAACATCCCTCCTCTCCGAGCTGGTGGCCGGTGAGGAAAGCGAGCCATTTCTACAACAGTTCCCTGAGTCTCGCTGGCAACCACACAGCCGGCAGCCCGGCAGGACTCTGGTTCCCAGGCTGGCATTCCACATCCCCGCCCCCGGCGCCTGCGCACGGGCGTGGCCAAAGTGGACACAAGACTATTGTCCTTGGCACAACGGCCCCAGTGACTGATGGGGACTGTCTTGGCAGACACTGCCCTTCTTTCCTGGGTGTGGAATTCCACCCACAGCCTCTGCATCACATCAGAACCACGTCCTGACACACCCCCGTCCTCAGGATCCTGCCACGCCACACACTGTCCCCGCTTCACAGAGGCAGGGCCACAAAAAAACTCCCCCAACACAGGCTGCGTGACTTCACACAGACGACTCCAGGTGCCCGGGCCTTCTGTCCAGCCTTCCCGGCCAGCTCAGCAGAAGCCGGCTTTCAAGAAAATTCAGAGCCACGGCTCGGCAACGTTGGTCACCGCCTCGGCCGTTCCTACAGTGCGATTCAAGGAGACAGATCACCCCGATAATTGAGGCAGCCACCCCATCAGGCGAGGGATGGACATCCAGGGAGCAGTAAACACGCGGGGAGGTGGGGGGTAGGGATAGGGTTGCTTCTAGTAATGTTTCTGAGCAGTAAACCAGCCAACCCCTTCTCCTGCTCCATGATGCTGGGAACGGACATTTCTCAGGTTGATTTCTCCCCAGGGCCAGGGCAAGTAATGTCAACTAAAAAGGAAAAAAAATAAAAAAGAATGCCACTTGCCCTATAATTGTGCTGCGATCCACTGTAAAGGGTCGGAACGCGGAGGCTCAGGGTGCAGGTTTCGTCTGGACACCACACCCCACTCCACAGGCCAGCAACGTCGCCTGCTGCTTCCCTTATCCTGGGAATTCCCAAAACCATTTCCTGCCTCCTCGGGTTCGACGCCACACACACGACAACCTCACCCCAGAACACATCAGTCAGCCCTGTAAGGGACACTGAAAGACACGCAGCCTCAGATTCGTGGAATGTTTTGTGCTTTCGAAGCACAACCCTGCCTGAGAAGCACCTGAGGAAGATACTATTCACGTCCCACAAGGAGGAAGGCAGAAATGCAGTATTTATTGTAAGTGTGTTGAGTGACCGGGGAAAGGGCTTGGAGATGAAACTTGAAAAGGGGAAGCAGCAGAGATGGGAGACCTGTCCTGGCCCCTGCAGTTAGGAACCCGGCCGGGAGGAATGAGGTGCCCCCGGCCTTTCCCTAAAACCTGCCTGTGATCCCAGTGGCAGGACCCAGAAATGCTCAGAACTAAGGGCAGGAGCTGATGGCAAATTGTGGGTCCACTTCTTAAAAAACAAACAGCAACACCCCAAACACGCTGCCTCCAGCTCCTCCCTCTCCCCCTCTTCCTGGCCGAGCATCCGTGGGCCTCTCCTGTCTCAGTTCTCTCTCCACAACCTGCTGGGACGGGGCTTCTGCCTTGCTGTCCAATGCCAGCCAAGGTCACACTGACCTCTGCGCACTCACCCCATCTCCCCTTCCTCCAGCCTTCCAGCACCACCGGCCACTATGGACCAGTCCCTCCTGGAAGCTCTGAAAACCCCACCTCCCCAGACCCCCAACAACCCCCTTCCCAGCCTCTGTGGTAGATGTCTTCCTCATCGAACTGTGCTCTTGTAAACACCTTCCACATCATTTCTAAGAATTCTCTGTCCCCAGACCCTGCTGTGTCGTTTTCACACTGCAGCCCCACTGTCTTCTCCGGATTACGCCCCCCTCCGAGAGAGTGGGGCCCTGAATGGCTCATTTCCTCTCCAGCACCTCGGACAGTGCCCAGGGCTTAGTAGGTGCTCAATAAAGAGCTGAAGGAAGGAAGGAAACTAGGGGATAAGACAGCCTTTCACTGAGTGGAGACTACGCAGCAGAAATACATATTCTGGGGAAAAGGAATGTGCTCGTACATTTACGGCACAAATCTGCACGGCACCCCTACCAATCATACACAGAATACTGAGAGGGCAAAAGGTCTGAAACAATCTGTTCCCAAGACGGGAGGTAAGATCTGTGGAAATTCTATTACCCACCCCCAACAAAGGCTTTCTTCTTGGACAGTATCCTCAGTCCTACCGAAACCTGCACAATAAGAGCCTACGACCATGAATCAAGAGCCACCATCACATCCACGTTACAGGTGGTGGGAACTGGACACGTTTAGAACGTGATCGGTTTTTCCTCCCATGTTGTGAGTGCTGCCTTCACGCCCACTGGCTCTTCACTCAGCGGAGCAGTGACGGGCCACAGGGCCCGCCTGGGTCAAGGCCACTCCACCACTCAGAGCAGGCGTCCAGGCAGGTTCTTCTCCTGCCTGTGTCCGCTCCCTCGTTGGGGAGGGGGGTGGTCAACCCTCTCACGGGTGCTCGTGAGGAGTAAACACAGTCACGTGAGCTAACTGCAGGCTCTCAGCCAGTGAGCGATAAATGCTAGTGTTGATGATAAGCCCAGCTTCAGCAGGACGGGGGAAGACTGAGATCGGCCACAGGCGGCCATCGAGGCAAACTCCACGACATCCCAAGGAACTCTGGCCAAGGACTGGCTCCAGAGTGACTGGAATCCAACAACCCTCAGGAAGAGTCCTTTAGGAACATCGTTGGGGACAGTCAGGATGTTATCACCACGCCTTGCTCCGCCTGGACAAAGCTCACTCGTCTTTAAAATGAAGTGTTTTGTAGGGCTTTATTTTCCTCACTAGAGGCCCGGTGCACGAAATTTGTGCACAGGTAGGGCCCTTAGGCCTGGCCAGCGATCAGGGCCAATCAGGTTCCCTGCTTCCCCACCTCCTCCTTCCCTCACCACCAATGCAGCCACTGGTGTGCCGCCACCACACAGTTCCCCCCGCCTCCCCACCTCCCCCTTCCCTTGCTCCCTCAGTGCCCCGCCACCGCTGCTCGTCACCTGCCATGTTCCACACCACCCCCTGGTGGTCCATGCACATCATAGCAAGCAATCGAACTCCCGGTCTCCTGGTCGAACTCCCGAAGGGACACTTTGCATATTAGCCTTTTATATATAGATTTTGTTTTGATGCGTTTTGTCACCTTTTGTGACAACATTTATTGCCTTTGACTTCCTCCAATTTGCCTGTGTTTTCTCTCAGTGAGCTCCTGCATTGCTTGAGGACAAAGTCCTTTCTCTTTGTCTCTTTCCGATGATCCCCAGAGCGAAGGCAAGAGGGACCCACTAATCCCCGTCCCTCAGATGAGGAGGAAGAGGTGGGAGCTCCCGTGGGGGTGGGGGAGAGGCAGACAAAGAGGCCACACCTGCCAAGAAGCTGGAAGAAGCGGAGAGAGCTCACCAGGCCGAATTCCCACTCCATGTGTGCCAACATTTTACTTAGATTTTCTAGAACTGGCTAGGATGGACTATCTTAACTAAGGTCCCCACTGCTCTATACATAAAGCTCTTAATTTTCGAAGGATAGCCACCAAGAAGACAGGGGAGGTGCTGAAGGTGCCCACAGCGTGCCTGGCAGCTTGCTCTGGCTGCAGGAGCAAGCCCCTCCGGCATCCAGCACCAGCCGAAGTGAGGGTCACGGAATGAACATTCTGGGGAACAGCTCTCACCCCCAAACACACAGCAGCTGATGGACCGGGACCTCCATTTCCTCGCTCCTCTGGTGGACAGCTTTGAGTGTGCCCATGCAGCTCCCTAGAAGTCCCCCAGCAGGATGGGCCCAGGTGCCCACGGCTCCTCCTTTCTGCCTCAGCTCTTTCCTCCATGCCTGTCTCAAGGGCAGAGAGAGGAGAGGAAAGGACAAGCCATGCACACATCGCCTTATGCACCCCAAAGACCGAATATCCTGTAACTCAGACCCTGAACAAAGCAAAACCAGAGTGGTCGGGAGGCTAAGATCCTCCTGGGGCGAGGAACCAGCCACCACACCGCACGCCTGCCATCGGCTGCCACCTGCACGCGGGCTGCATGCCTCCCACGGCCCCTTCTCCCCTCCTGGGGATGCTGGGGCAATCACCACGCCGAAAGCCACGCGCTAATTGCTGCAATAGGTAAAGTGCTGCATTCAGGGGAAGAACTGGTTATGGATCCAGTTAGCGATAAGCAGCCCGAGACTTCTCAGATATCACTGTCTCTTTTTCAGCAGGTTAATAGGAAAATTAGCAGATAATTTAAATAATGGCTCAGTTAACACAACGGCTCCTAATTACATGAGCAGCCCATCTGCCAGCGCCTGCTGCCAGAGCCCCTGCGCAGCGGCCTTTCCGGCCCAGCCACGCGGGCTGTTTGCCCACAGTTTTTCCACGGGATTGCCGGCGCCGGTCTGGTTAATCAGGTCCTTTCAGCGCTTCGGCTCTAGAGATGCATCTCATTCACTTCAACACATCTTGTTAAAGAAGCAAAAATAACTGCCACGCGCCATTTCTCCACAATCTGAATTGAAATTAAGGTTGTTTCTCTAAAGAAGGGGGGAAACCGTTTCCAAAAGGGCACCGCTTAACACAGCCAGATGTTGAAGAACTTCGAGAGGAAGAGCTGGATGGTGCGGTTTATCCGGGCTCGGCACGTGCGCGCGCACACACATGCCTGTGCTTCTGCTATTGCGCGATGGGCCCGATGGCACGTCAAGAGTCATGCCTTGGCTCCTTGGAAGACCACAGCTGCCAAGGGCACGGTGGGGAGAGGAGGCCAGGCCCAGCTGCCTGCTTCGGGCGCGGTCCCAGCTTTCCAAGGAACGCTGAGCGCGTGGCAGGTGACGGGCTGCGGAGGGTGAGGCTGAGAGCAGGCTGTGGGGTGTGGGAGGGTTGGTGCTGGGACCCGTTGGAAGAGCCTAAAAGTCACGCCCAGATCAGAATCCTTCTGGACACGGGAGCTGCCACCGCCTCTGTTGCCGAAACCTGTTCCCGGGGTGGTGGGGCGGTGACTGGAGGGAGGGGTGCTCCCCAAGTTCTGGAACTTTCCAAAGCACCCCTCGCTGGTAGGAAGCGTAGAAAGGGTAAGGTGGCGAGATGTGATCACGGACCCATAGCTGGCGAAGACGGTCCATTCCTACCCAGGGTGCTGCTCTAAGTCCATCTCCCACCTGTGGCCCCAGGATGCACCCTGCAGTGTCTCCGAAGCGGAACAGCTTGAAAAAGACCAGCGTAGGGTCTGCCACACCTGGGTCTGAGCCTGGGCTTCGCCTCTGTTGGCTGTGGAACCTCAGGGACATGGCACACCCTCTCTGAGCCTCAGTGCCCTCACCTGTAAAGTGGGGTCAGGAAGGGTGCTGCTCTGAGGAGCACATGGCATAAGAGTGATGCACCCAGGACAAGGCCTGGCCACTGGGGAGCTTTCATTCCTCAGAGAGGGCAGGGTGCCTCTGTCTTTCCTCCTTACTTCTCCCATCACTGTGCCGACCCGACCTGTACCACACCACCCACCAGACCTCACTGGGGTCCAGGCACAGATGGGAAGTGGGCGCACCAGCCGCACACCTGGCGGGTGTGCCCAGCGGTCCTTCCTGGGGCACAGCGGCTGGTCCCACAGCAGGTGAGGCCGAGATGGAGGTGACCGTGTGCCGAAACAGCGGAAATGACCCGTGGTGGGCAGTGCCCGCCCTCAACCGGAACAGGCAGAGCTCCACTCAAGAAGCTCTAGTCCCAGAGTCACCCATTCTGTCCACCTTGCCTGCCTTTTCTCCCCACCCTGGTCAGCGGCCACCCTCTCGCCTGGCTGCCTAAGCTCCTCCATTCCCTTTCCCCTGCCTCCGCCTCCATGAATCTGCATGTCCTGTCCCTCTACCTCTGGAATCTCCCTGCGGCTGCCCAGGTTCCCTCTCCCTGGCTGCGCCATGAGTCACCCCGTGGCTCCGTGTTGTGGGCCCTGAGCACAGAGTTGGGCACACAGTGAGTGCTCAGGGAAAGCTGATGAATGAATGAATGGACGGAGCCCGGACGCCACTGAGGCATCCTGTCCAGTTAGTTTGCACTCTCTGGCCCGTGTTTCTCAGGGTCCTATGCCCTCCCGGGATTCTGGTGAGTCCGCGTCTTCCCATCCCAGAGCACCCTGGGCTCTGAGGATGTGGTTTAACAGTAGCGTAGTGACATCATGGCAGCATTCCGGAGAAGGAAGAGAAAACCACCCCTAAACCCACCACCTCCATGAAGCTGTCCGGTGTCCAGCTCCGGGTCTCATCCTGACATGTAAGAGCTGACCCCTGGCTTCCTCACTTAATATTCTAGGACTCCAGCTGTCCATTCAGGCTGTTGAGACTCAGAAAAGACATCCACACACAAGTCCCAGGGGTGTGAACACGCATCCAGGGCGGCCCCCGGGCCAGAGACTGGCAGAGCCAGGGCCAGAACGATGCACCACTCAGAGCTCATGGAGCAGCCAGGGCCAAACCTGAAGGAGGCGTCCGGTCTGCCGTGGGATCCTCAGGGATCCCAACATCTGGTGCCTGGTTCTCTGCCTCTTGGACGGAGAAGCCAAGCAGGGGTTAAGGGGGAGCTGCTGTGAGCAGCCTCATGTGGGCCAAGCCTCTGGAAGTCAGAGCGGGAAGCGCTTGTTTGTTGGCAAGAAGATGCTCTGGGACAGGGGCCTGGCTGCTCCCGTCTGCTCGTCTGCGGTAGGTCCCTCCCTCCCTGTAGGCGAACTCGGGACAGGGCTGGGAGGCAGAGATGAGCATGGGGCACCCTCTCCATGGAGCATGTCGGGCCCCCTGAGCACCTCTGCCTGGGCCGCGGGCGTCTCCCTCAGCCTCCGAGGTTATACAATGTACCTGCTGGCAGGATGCCACCCCGTTGATGGAGGAATGAAGGCGGATATTTAAATAGTCACGAGTGAGAGTCACAAGGCTGGGCCTCACTGACGCCAGTGAACATAAGGATCCTTTTTCCCACGTTCACGGTAACCCGCGCCTCCGAAAGCGCCAGCCAAAGGGACAAACGCGGGTTCGTCCCCATGTTCTGGTGGTTACAGGGGGAAGGGGACAAGCAGGGAAACCTCTATTAACAGAGGGCAAGCTAGTCTTTTCTTCCCCAAAGAGACAACTAAAAACACCCCCCAAACCCTTCCCACCTTTTCAGGGATTTTTAGAAAATGTCACTTTAGCTAAAAATCAGCTCTTTCTGCTCATTTCCCACAGGAGCTGAAACGGATTCCCATCCAAGGTGCAGTGTCTTAACCGCAGGCTATTTCTGCAGGTCCTTTAGCTTGAGTTGGTGATGGCAACAGAAAAGGATTTTCGGTCTGAACTTTCATTTAAAAACACGGGATTAACTTCATCTTATTTCCCAACATTCAGATATTGTTAGCTTTTAGTAAATGTTGAAAAAAGGAAGATAACGGGCACACACTGCAGCAGCAGCAGGCACGATTTTCAAGTTGCTATTCCAGTCAACCTCAGTTTTGGAATGTCTCCCAGCTCCAACAATTTGCTTCTCAGCCCGGTAACCTGTCACGCGTCATGCCCATACCTGTGTGACCAGCCAGTGTCTCTCAGGTGACAAACAAAGGAGAGAATGCACAGGTGTGGGTGGGTCAGCTACGGCTAAACCTCACGTGGTTAACATCTCAGGGAATTGTGCTGTGAGTATTTTCATGTTTTTTGTTTGTTTGTTTGTTTGCTCTCAGAGGTCTGGAACGGATTAATTCAATTTATGTGATTTCTAATGGGAAAAACGATGTGGTTGGTTTCAAACAAATTGCTTCTCGAACGAATTAAGTTGGAGAACCCTAAGAGACAACTAAAACAGTGGTCCACTCCCCACTATTTGCTCACTCCTCACTATTACTCCAGGTATTAAGATTTCTTCTCATTGTGGTAAAGGACACGAAACATACCATTTACCATCGGAACCAGTTCCGAGTGTACAGTTAAGTGGCGCTACGTCTAGTATTCACATGTTTGTGCAACCACTGCCACCATCCATCAACGGAACGCTTTCCTCTTGTAAAACTGAACCTGTCCCATTACACAAGTCCCGTTCCCCCTCCCCAGTGCCCGGCACCCACCAGTCTGCTTTCTGACTCTATGAACTTGACTTCTCTATGTCCCTAATGAGTGACTGGCTTACTTGGCTGAGCTTACTGTCCTCAAGGTTGGTCCATGCAGGGGCAGGTGTCAGAATGCCCTCCCCTTTGAAGGTTGAATCATAATCATTATATGCAGAGGCCACATTTAAAAACCCATCCATCCATCCATGGACACTTGCTCGCTCCTTTTGGATGTGGTGAATAAAGCTGCTTGAACACAGGTGGACAAATGTCTCTTCGAAATCCTGTTTCAAGTCTTCTGGGAGGATCCCCCCCACCCCCCACCCATAAATATTTAGTGAGCAGCTACCACATCCTTGGGCCACGGGGATGAAGAAGATAAGGTGTCCCTTACAGAATCCACCACCTAATGATCAGATAAAAGACCAGCTCCTCCCACATAAGGTTTTCAGTCTGTTGAACTGACTGAAGAACTGGTGAGGCTTAACCTGCAGGTAACTAGAGGTAGTTCATTTGAGGTTTATCCATGATTTAAAAGTTTAATTTCCCAGCGCTTTCCCCCACCACTCAACACACTTAAAAAAACAACAAACTACCGTGTTTATGATATTTGCCAAGGTACTATCACCAATTTTAACACTGTAAAATGAGAACCAGAAAAGCAAGTTTCCCAAAAAGGAGATGGACTGCCAATCACACACTGTCACTCTGAGCTGTGCATACAGACGGCTACATAATGGCTGTGCTGTATTTAAAACTCACCCACCACGGGGACCTGCTAGGTTAGCCTCTCAGAGTTCTTTCTATGAAAATACACATATGATACTGACCAACATGAAGGGCTTTGAAAGCAGAAACTACTACTTCAGTCCCAAGTGTCAAAGGCACAAACACCTCCCCGCTCCACTGATGCCTGTACCTGAGCATGTGGACGGAAGTGAGGGTAACCCAGGGTTCCTCGTGTGCAGCTCGGTGTGGGGGGCGGTGGCCCGCCTCCCCACGGGCACCTTCTGAAAATCTACAGCGTTACTCCATCTCCTGCTCTGAGCCTGCTGGTCTGGCCAGCCCACACGCTTGGACTTGGAACCCGGAAAGGCCACTGTCTTCTGTGTTGCCGCCCTGTGCGAGTTCCAGGGCAGCCACTTAAGAAACAGGCTATTTCTATGTGGTTTGCAAAAGGCTTTGGCACTTCTTTCTTGTTAAGCCCACGAGAAAAAAGCAAGTCTTTTAAAAGGCATAGAGCAATTACAGACACCATTCTCTGCTGAGACTTTTTAAAGCCCTTCCAAGTACGTTCCTTTCAGAAAAGACCTTAAATCCCCACGTTCTTATGGTGTCCAGCTATTGGAAAGAATGCTAACCCAGAGGAGAAATCACAGGTGCACCTTTCTTTTGCGTCCATGCCAGTGAAATACAGTGTTTTCCTAACTAGGGTATAGAACAGTCACAGGGAAATCTTTCAGAACATTCTAGTGATGAGAGACACTAAGACTAGGCAGAAAAAAAAAAAAGCGCGACATCTTAACCTTGGCAAAGTCTTCCTACCCCTTCCCATCATGCACCTTATTATTACTGTTCATACATGTCACCTAGACATTAACCAGGCATGACATGTATAGCAAACATGGGCTGCAGCCACATCTGCCCATTGAGCACAAAGACCTGTGAAAATAATTCTTAGTAAAAATTGTATGATATGATTTCACGAGTCCCTAAAACATTGAAAGCAATATAAAAACCAACATGGAGCAAAGATGGGCTTTGCAGAAAGATTCTGTAGCCCTCCCATACACCCGCCCCATCCAGTCAGAGCCTCTAACTGGTAGACCCAACTGAAGTCTTAAAACAATCAAGTTTTAGTCACTGACAGTAATTCTTTTTTTAAAAAAATATATTTTTTATTGATTTCAGAGAGGAAGGGAGAGAGAGATAGAAACATCAATGATGAGAGAGAATCATTGATCAGCTGCCTCCTGCACGCCCCCTACTGGGGACCATATTAGACTTGTTCGTTTTACTGTAACTTTTTAAATCAAAGTCTCCTCCTATATTAATTAATCAAGATCCATATATATTACCCTGTTTTAAGAACATAATGCAATGCAGAAAATAAAAAATATATATACATATATATATATTTTTTATTGATTTCAGAGAGGAAGGGAGAGAGAGATAGAAACATCAATGATGAGAGAGAATCATTGATCAGCTGCCTCCTGCACACCCCCTACT